TTCAAAGAAAATGAAGCTGCTTGCTATATTGGTCGCATTCATAAAACGTTTGGTAAGTCACTTTCAAAAGAAAAGATACATTTCTTCGTGTTAATAAGCAAAAAAAAATTGCCAAACATTAAAGCTTTTTTATGGGTACACTGAGGCCAATCACCACCAAACTTATTATAATTTATATATCAGGCTCTTACAATACAGCGAAGAATTATCTTAACAAGCCAAAACGTGCAACACCATCACCAATTGGATTTGAAGGCGTTGTAGAATACTTTGATGTGACCAGCAACGATGATAATACTAATGCAGAGAAGCCACCAGTACAACAAATCGATCACGGCTCGAATCCTGAACTACATCAGCTTATTCGTATTAAGCAAGAAGAAAATCAAATGCTTAGAGCTACGGTTTCCACTTTAAATAAGCGCATTGGAACAGAAATCGTTAATGATGTTGATCATGACTCACACATATTGAATATTCCGCGCTACAAACGTACAATTTTGCATACTAAGCATTATCAACTCGACTCTGAATTCGGAAAAGTATTTTTCTACCTAACAAAGGTAAGATATTGACTTCGATGTCATGAGTTTGTATATTAAAAATATTTGTTTTGTTTTGTTTTGTAGTCTACAGGCAATCGACTTTATTTCCATGAGAGTCTGGAAGTTGATCTTGGTACTATCGATCAACTCGAGAAAATGAATTATTCGTATCCCGAAATGTCTTCCGATTTTGATGAAAAGTTCATTTATGTATTGTCGACTGCTGTATTACAACTAAATGAAATCAATAATTTCTTAGAATCCAATAATCTTCATCATATTGATCGGGAAAGACTTCAATTTATTAAAAGTAGTATCTTTAAATATTTTTGCAATTATTTCGTTATTTAATTTTTTATTCTCTTTATTGACAGGCATTTACTTGGAACGAGTTAAAAGTGATGTAAAGCGTCAGCGAGCATTTCGGGGCCACATGAAGTCTGCTTTGGAGTACTTTATCGAACAGAAAGATCGAGGAAAAAAATGAAGATGGCCAAAAATAATATGATTTTTTGTATTTTGATCTCGGCTTTCTCATGACTAATTACTATTGAAAATAATAAAATATATTAACTACTGAAAATAAAGAAAACAAGTCATTTTCCAAAAAAAATATTATTTTCGTTTTATTTCCTTTATTTATTTGAATTTTTTTAGTGGTTGAATGACAAAGTGAAAAAAAAAATTAGCAAAACAAAAGTATTATATGTGTAATAATATTTCTTTCTTCATTTTAATGAAAAACATTCGAACCGCGGCCTAGATCAATTGTGTTTTCACTATCAATTCTTTGTGAATGACCGTTTGAGTGAGAAATGACGTGGCTGGCCTATTTCAGGTGCTGGTCCAGATTTGAATGTAATGCGACTTACATCATCATTGGATTTGACTTCCACCAACTTGGGTTTCGGTTTCTCCTTGGCTGACAATTGAGCTTCATCAACGTTTGTACTTTCTATATTCATGTCGCCATATGCTGTACTTTCTTCTTCAACGTTAATTTCATCACCAGGCTGATTGCCATCGAAGCTTTGATCTATTTCAGACATTTGTCTGATTGGAATTTCAACATCATCCTTATGGACGGCAATTTCATCACCAGATTGACTGCCATCGAAACCGAGATCTTTTTCAGACATATCAATATCTCGCACATCATTTTTGATGTTGGCAGCGGCTGACTTTTCACCTACTGGCATATTGTTTGCGTGTACAGCATTTTCTTCAAGAAATTCATGACCATTTTCAGATATCTAGAAATATTATCCATATTAAAAACAAATAAAAAGTAAAATAAATTTGCTTTATACCAAACTCGTTTCGTCGCACAGATCCAGTGTTTCCACCACATTTGGCTGATTAAACCGCTTATAAACATTTGGAATTCTTCGTGGCCGTTCATGTAGCCACTGGTCGGCAGCTTCAAGTGTTTCTATTGCAAAATAAATAAAATCCATTATACAGTTTGTTCAATCTAACAAGATAAATATGTGAACATTTAAATGCTTGTTGATTTAAAATCGTATACACTCCGATAAATTCAGTCTGAGATCAGACTGTGAATAAATAAAAAAATAAAAAATAAAAAATAATACCGAATTGTTTGTCTATACGCCCAATATAGCACGCTGTTTCATTGACATGAAAGAAATGTGATGCTTGAATTTCAAAGTTGGCTTCATCGTTTGAATTGGGTGAATAAAAAATGCGTGATTCTTCGTCCAAAATTGGTGTTTCTACCCACGAACCACGAACCGAGATCAATTTGTTACTTTTTAAATTAACCACAAATGCCGACATATTATTTATTCGATTTTTTAAATAATAATATAATTTTATTATCTTTCTGTTCTACAACGAATTCTTTTTCAAAGTTCAACACCAATACCAATGCAGACTACAACTGAAATGTCATTCAGAACTGAAATGCCATTCAAATGTCAGCTCTCCGACTATTGTTAGCTTTGAATATGCAACTCCACCGAAAGCTGTGATAATCTTTAAAAAAATACACACACACTCATTGAATTGGAATAATAATATATTTTTTTGGTATATTTTAATTTTCAGTAACTTCATGTAATATTTTTTTGAATCCAAATCAAAAATAAAAAATTTCAATATGACAAATTATCGACAAACTTCATTTTTTACTTACTGATTGTCTGCTGGTCCAAAAAATTCAGAGGTTGGGACAAAGAAAAATGAAAGTTGTCAGATCAAGCTAAAATTTTGCCAGGCATTCTAGAATTGAATTATAAGAACGCCTTCCAAATGTCAGCTCGATCCGATGAGATTTAAAAATCGACATTTTCATACTACCGGATTGTCTGCTGGTCCAAAAGTTTCAGAGGTTGGGACAAAGGAAAATGAAAGTTGTCAGATTATGCTGAAATTTTGCCAGGCATTCTAGAAT